ATGCACTGGCCTTTAAAATTTTAATTTAGATTATAAGCTATGTAGTACAATTAGAATTCTCACTTTTGAGAAATTATGAAATTATGAGTATTTTGTTTCAAATACAATATCTGCAACTACAAGTTTAAAATTAAAAAAATGCTAAGTTTTTAAATTGTTTCAAAATTTTAATAGAAAATTGTAGATGATAGTATATACAGGATGTTTCACGTAATTTTACGAGGTGCAATCAATAATACATATTCCGATACGAACTCGATTACAATTTTTGAAAAATTGAATAATTTTCTCTAGTTTGTTCACCCTTTAAAAAATTACAACGTTTTTAGTTAGTTAGTGATTAAGATAGATAAACTAGAATTATATTTATGCCGTCTCTTGATAGAACAAATGATAATTGTTTGTGAAAAACTGAAGTTTATGACTATTAATGAAACAGTGATTAGTTTGACAACTACTGTCAMGGGTTTACAAAAATTAAATAGTTAGAAGTGTATTTTTTGTATCCAGTGTTTTGTGACTTTTGTATATTTGAGTGCGAACATTAGGCGCAAGCATCGTAAAGTTGTGTGAAACACCCTGTATATACAAAAAAATTAAATATGTTTATGATAATAATAAATAATAATTAGGGTTTTAATAAATTACAACTTTAGTAAATTAAAAAAATGTAGAAGTAATTTTTTTGGCTTTTGTAGGAGAAAATGGAACAAAGATGTGTGGTACAGGCAAAATAACCTGCATGAGAGAAGCTGAAAGTTAGTGAAATGCATTTTCAGCCAAACAACATAAAACCAGTAATTTTCAGGATTTTTACAAGCGAAGGACTTGTATTTAAAATTATCAGATAACAAGTCATTGAAAAAAAACAGCCAATGCGATTGTCTTCCGATTTGTACAGACACAACTTACGAAGTTGAAACTTCACAAAGTGACTGGAATTGGAAAATGACCTACAGTGCCCATGGGACACCCTGGCCAAACGAGTAAAATTGACACATTTTTTATATTGTATTAAATGAGAAAAAATTTTAGCACCCACTTATCATCTCTTACCATTTTTTTCAAGTCGGACACTTTTATCACGTCTGAGCGGAACGAACTTTACGGCCCTATTGACTTTTTGGCAAATTTTGGGGGGCTTCTTGGCCTTTTTACTGGATTTTCTGTGCTTTCTCTAATGGAAATTTTGTATTTTTTGTCCGTGAGACTCATCTGCAATAATCGGCTGTATGGATTTTGGGCAGGTTCTGAAATTTAGTTATACATTTATTTAAATTTGTTACATTACACACTAAATATAATTCTTGTCATTTTTTCACATAATGAATAAATAAATAATTTAAATATCGCGGTTTGATTTAGTAAATGATTCGCATGCGCACGTAGTGCGTCAATTTTACTTCGGTTTAGTTCGTAGCCGGCCGAACTTTTCCGAACGTCACCAAACGACAGTACCAAAATGGCGGCCAGTTTATGATAGTTTGTTGTGTACAATTTTCCTCCAAATCAGCAAAAAACTCGTTATTATGGTACATAATTTAGCTTAATTGCAACAAACTACCCACAACAATGGACGCTGTCAAGGCATTTAACTCGGAGGTAGGAAAAAACTTGTCATTTGATAGCCCCCTTAACCGCTCCATTTTCGTTGCAGCTTTCGTCTCTGTACGAGGTAAAGCCCCCGATTTCCAAAGCCAAGATGACGGCGATCACTCGGGGGGCCATCAAAGCAATCAAATTCTACAAACATGTAGTGCAAAGTGTGGAAAAATTCATATTAAAGTGCAAACCCGAATACAAAGTGCCCGGTCTATACGTGATCGACTCGATTGTGCGTCAGTCTCGACACCAATTCGGTGCCGATAAGGACGTTTTCGCCCCCCGATTTGCCAAGAATATGCGACAGACGTTCATCAATTTATTTCTGTGCCCCGCTGAGGATAAAGTAAGTTTTCTGCGGTTTATTTAGCCCCTTTTTAAACTCTTGATGTAGAGTAAAATCATCCGAGTGCTCAACCTATGGCAGAAGAACCAGGTGTTTGCTCCGGAGGTCATCCAACCGCTTTTTGACCTCGCTGACCCTAACAACCCCATCCACAAGGAGCTGGGGACTCCGATGCAGTCGAACGGCAACAAAGGTTGGTAATTATTTTGGTTGCTTGTCGTTTTTAATTTTTAAGTAAAATGTACAACGTGCCGGAATGTTTTTCGCCTGTTTTGGCACGTTGTATGGCGATGGTATTTGTCTAAATGACCTGTTCGTATTAGGTTCCCCCGCTCTTCAAAAGACGCCCACCAAAGGTTCACAACAAGGTGTTGATGCGGCTCATCTCGGAGGAGCTAACTTGGTACTAAAACTGTTCACTTTAGACTTGCGACTGAGAATTATTGTTTAATAACAACGTACTGTAATCACATTGACTGGGCTGTCAACAGTTGTCAAAAGCTTTGTTTTTATTTTTGACAGACTGGTGACAGTTTAGTAAGTCATGTATTTTAAGATTTTTTTTCACCTGTATGAAGATTGTAACAAGTCATAGTGGATATAAAGTGAACAAAATACGGGATTTGAATCAGATTCAGAATTTGTATATACTTATGTTAAAAAATTAATTGATTTGGATAAAAATAAGAGAGTTACTTACATGTAAAACTGTTTGAATTCTGTTATTTGCATTATGTTGGTCAAAACCTAAATTATAAATGGAAGTAATTTTTAAAATTGCAAATAATAGAAATTTATGTAAAATTTATATCAGAGTTTTTATTTTTGGGTAACTCTGCATTGTGTATTGATTTTTGAGTTACATACAGGCTGCACCAGAATTCGCGCCCTAGAGAAAATGTTATGTGAGGTAAGATACCAGAAACATGGAAAAAATGTAAAAAAATCTATCTATAAAAATTTCGAAGTTATGAGAGTTTAAAATTTGTATCTTGACTTTATTTCTGTTGGAAATATAATTTTTCAATTTTTTTTTGCTACGGGCTATTATTAGAACGAAGCGGTATTCTAAATTGTAACTCTGTTTAATGTTATTTGTGACTTGTATTGTCAAGATTTTTGTATCTCTACTAAATAATTATAAAAAACATATACAAGATCATAGTTATCATTAAGTCGACATAAAAAATGTCAAATGTTTTTGACAGGTAGAATTTTTTAAACATTTTTTCCGTGGTCCTGGTATCTTATCTTACTTGATTTTTTTCTGGGGCGCGAGTTCTGACACACCTGTATATTATTTGTGATTATTATTTAAAATTTATGGTGGTATAGACTTGTACAAAAAGACAAAAATTTGGAACTAATTCTAATTGTTTGATAATCACAAAGGAATTCATATTTTCATATTAATATTTTGACTTCAGTTTTTTAAATGTAGTTCCGTTATTATGTAATGTTATTTTCTGAGTTTTCTCAAAAATTTCACATATCTAGTGGCGATTCCTAACTAGTTTTTTTTTTAATTTAGAAGCGTTGTTGGTTAAGACATCAAAAATTTGTATTTTTGTAATATTTTTGATGTCTACAGAAATCTATTTGACCATTGTTTATTAATAGGTGAATAGTGTTCATGAATGCATGAACTTATTTAGAATCAAACTAAAAAATATTTATTACAAAATTGAAACCATTTTCTAATAATAAGTAATCAATATCATTTTGATACTTTTGGTGAACATATTATTTAGAACTTTCTGTTTAAATTACTGTTGGTGATTTCAGCATGATGAAAAGATTTTTTTTATTAATTTTTAATTCTGTATTAAGTTTGCCAATGTCAGTGTAAAAATCGCTAAAAATTTAAACTAGAAAAATCGTTAGTGCACAACAAGTAATTTAGTTAAAATAGTTGTCACGATGATAAATATTTTTTGATAAGGATGAAGGTTTGAAAATTGAACATTTTTTAATTACCTAAACCTAAATTTTATAACATTGGTTTTTGAGCAACTTTTTTTGGTTATCCATAATACTCGTAATTAGATAAAGATTTTTATTAAAGGTTAAAGTTAATTAAAAATTAAAATTAACAGATCAAATAACGAATCGGCTGAACTTTAATTATGTACATATTTATTTCAAAAAAATAAAACAATACTTGTGTTAGTAAAAAAATATTAATGAACAAAAGGAAAATGTTAAAAAGTCAAATGACATTTGGTAATTCTGACAGTGACACTTGCTGTTATTCAGTTTTCTACTTTCCTTATTTTTAATACATTTGTATTTTGACTTACATGTAGCTATGACTTTTCACTAATGAACTAATCAATTAATTTGTAATACTTTTGAAAATAATGTCAAAAAAGTTCGAAAACAGAACTAATGTTGATTTTTTTTATTTTCTTTAATTGTAGTGTTCAATTTTTAGAGTTTATTTTAAATCGAAGTTACGAGTAAAGCTATAAAACAGGAGTTATTTTTTAAGGTCTTGTATATTAAATAATACATCATTGACAAAAATACAATTCAATTGTAATGAAATGTGTTTAAATTTGCTAGCTTAACCATTTTGAATTGCTAGTGTGTTTCATCAAATTTTTATCAAATTTTATTTTTGATTAATAGTTATCATGGTTAATAATAATGAGTAATTGGATTGTTTTAATTCAAGAATTCTAGAAATTTTGGATAAACTCTTTGTTTTCAAACTAAGTTTAAATACCTATCTGGTCTCTGATAATTTTATATTTAGGTAAAGTTAATTTAAGGCGAGTTTATTTATATTTTTTATTATGTGGGTTGTTGAACACCCAATCTTAACAAAATAAGTACTGTAACAAAATTTCCTTATACAGAGTGAGCCAGAACTCGCGCCCCAGAGAAAAATTTCAAGTAAGATAGGTTACCAGGAACATGGAAAAAATGTTTCAAAAATTCTATCTGTCAAAAAATTTTGACATTTATTTTTTGACATTTTACAATTTTTTATGTTTATTTAATGATACTGATGATCTTGTATAAGTTTTTTTAATAATTATTTAGTAAAGCTACAAAAATTTTGCCAATAAAAGCCACAAATAACATTAAACAGAGTTACAATTCAGGATACAGCTTTCTTGTTTCCTCTTCTAATAGCTTGTAGCGAAAATCCTTGGAAAATTATTTTTCCAACAGAAATAAATAGTCAAAATTGCAAAATTTAAACTCTCATGACTTCGTAATTTTTATAAATAGAATTTTTTAAACATTTTTTACATGTTCCTGGTATCTTACCTTATATGGCATTTTTCTCTGGGGTGAGTTCTGGCGCACCCTGTATATTTACAGTAATTTGTCACAAACATGTGAAAGAAATAATTTTAGATATTTTAATTTTGAAACATTCTGTATATCACAGTGTTTAATCAATTGTCAGCGTTATCATTTTTTCATTTTTTTTTACATCTCTTAATTTTATTTTAGCAAAAACTTTTGATGTCATTATATAAACCAGGTGTTAATAATTAATAATTTTGTTTGATATTAAGATTTAAGTATTATTTATAGTCAAATTGAGTTCATTGAGTCGATGGAATTGCGTTATTTATTTTAGATTTGCTTTTACTTACAATTTTATTGTTAAATTGTTCAATTTTTACATTTAAAAAAATTGTAAAATTACAATAGGGAAAATTAACAGTTGTTAAGTAATTTTTTCTATTGCGACAATTTCGAATTTTATACAGGGCGAATCATAATTAGGTGTAATTTTTTTTATCAAAATTTTTTTAGACTAAAATAGTGCAATTAACTTAATACATCTTAATAAGAAAATGCTTTAAGAAAATACAGGATATTGCTGGAGGGGAGCATTGTAAACATTTGCTTTAATTTTCTATTTTTAAATCTTTATAAATCCATATTTAAATAACTGCTTGGTTTTGACCTAAAGAAGCTTTGATAAAATAAATTACACCCAACTCTGTCTCACACTGTATATTTGATCTTAGTTCTAAAAGTACAACATTGACATTTCACATAAAATGTTATAACCATTTCAAATTGTATACAGTGGAGTCTCTATAATTCAATTTTCCAATAATTCAAAAATTGATTTTTTTGTTTGATGAGTTCATAAACAAATTTTAAGAGATTGGTTGCACAAAATTTCGACAAATTTTAATATCTATTATTTCGACAATCTTAGTTTTTGATAATTTTATGGGGTTCTACCCAACTCGGATAATCGAGGTTTTACTGTAATTGATTACTTTCATTTTGGATTTAGAAAATGGTTTACTTTTTTTTTCGTTTGAAATACATAATTATGGATAAGAAGAGCGTTTGGGGAATTTATTAAAACTTCTAATTGTAAATTAATAATTTCGTGACTTTATACTTATTATTTTATTTGGTTTGTTTCAGAATTTAACCGACCCAAATATTCTGATTCAACTCCAACAACTTCAACGCCTACTCACACGCAGCGGCGACTCGTCTTCAAAAACGGATAGTCAAGTTCACTTCGACAAGAAATTGTTGGATTTTGATTATGGTGACGACGATGACGAAGCTCATTCGTCGCCGAAAGCAGGACCGGCGCCGCCTCCACCCAACGACTCTGTTTCCAATTTGTTGACAAATCCGGAAGTTTTGCGACAACTTCAGACTATCCAGCAAACGATGACTGCGGGACAGGGAGAATTGGATATCGACAAGTTGAGAAAATTACAAGAGATGAAACAACAGGAAGAGGAGTTTGATAAGCATCTGGCACAAACTGTTCCGGTAGGAAAAATAAAGTTGGCTAAAGTTATTTCTTAAAGGAAGTGGAAATCAATGGGTGTCCAGTTGGAACTGTTTCGTGGATGTTTTAATATCCATCGTACATACCGGACACCCATAAAAAATTCTTGGAATTGTGGATGAATGGAAAGTTGTCACAATTTCACAATCGCTTTGAGTTTTCCGACATGTTTCTGATAAATTTAGTAGTTTTTTGTCCCGTGACAAATATTAAAAAGTTTTAAAACTTTAAGGCCAGGATGAATTCTAAAAAACTTTGCCAATTACAAAGGTTTATGATAATTTTTTTTTTATAAGAGTATGTCTTACAAAAATTCAAATTTTGGAAAATTGCATTTCCGTTTTAGAAAACCTGTAAAGATGTGAAAAACTTTAATCTTGAAAGTTCTGCAGAGAATTCAAGTGAATTTGAGAATTTACTATTCATATTTTTTTAACTTCTTAACTTTTCGATTAGAATTATAAAGTTATAATTGCAAATTAGGAATTTATACCTAGATTTTCACTAAGTAAGTATTTAGTAAATCTAAGAGTTTCGTGGTAAATTGTATGAAACTTTGGTTAAGTTTGCGTTGTTCAATTCGAGTGAATTCTAGAAAGTTTCTGCTAAAACTATGATTAAATACAAATTTAGTGGAATTCTAATGAATTCGAGAAGTTTGCTAACTTCTTGCTTTCCAACGATTTTTATGAAATGAGATAGTGAATTCAATAAAATTATTTAGGTGATTTTGCTATAATTCTGTAAATTTTTATTAAAATTTTTAAATTATTTTTTTGATTATTTGGGTGGTGAATTTTCACCATGGTGAAATGGTAATTCACTTTTCTGGTTCTTATAACATCTTAAATTTTGTTTAAAGTTTGGCATATTCTGTAGCTTTTCAAAATTTCAACTATTTAAAAATTGTGATGAATTTTGTAAGTAAAAGCTAAACTTTAATGATGGTAACAAAACTCTATTATTAAATTGATACGAGTTACAAATTACAACATTTTAGTTGAATTTTTACTGAACATTTTATTGGATTTTAAGATTCTCTGAGTAAAATGTATAAAATTTTCATTGGAAAAAACAAAAGTTGGAGTTTTGTAAGTTATTCATAAATTTTTACAATGCAAACATTTCTGTTACACGTTGCTAAATTTTATTTTTTTTTTACATGAAGTTAAAGACTTTCAAGCCAAAGAATTATAGGTTTTGTTTGATTTTCAGAAATTTGTATTTGTTTAAAAGCTTTTGAGATATTTTGAAAATAAATTGAAATTGTAAGTGCAATAGGAAATTGTAGTGAATTGTAGAAAAATTCCTAACATGAATTCTAACGATTTATATAAAATAAGGGTCAGTTTTAATAAGATTTAGATATTATTAGAGGAAATCTGTTAATTTCATCCAATCGTAAGCGTCTTTTGCATAAAACTTCTTAATCTTCTTGTCAGATGAATTTTTTAAATTATTCATTTAATCTTTATTTATTAAGTAGGTACTTTTGAAAATAATTTCATCAAATATAACTCGACCATCTTTTTTATTATCGAATTTTTTATTTTGAATTTGAACTCAAACTTTTTTGTCTCAGACAATTTTACTAGTTCAAATTTGGAAATTTAGATTCTCGTCAAATTCTCATTACAAAAAAAAATGGTATTGTAAGATTCAAAAAATTATTTAAATAAAAATTAAAAACGATGGTCTTGTTATATTACATGATTATTTTTTTAAATAGTTTATAAATAGGTCAATTTACGAATTAGAAAGTGTTTTAACAAATTTGAACTTACAGATGTTCCTAAAAAAATTAACAATTTTAATTTACATAAAATAAAAATGTTGGGAAATAGGAAATATTTTTCTAAATTTTAAGAATATTGTTCTGATTCATTTACTTGTATGGTGTTGTTTAGTTTAATAAGTCCTGTCATTTCGACTAATTTTTTTTAAAAACAACAAAAACATTGGTAATTAGTAATTAATCAACGAGATTTCTCTTAATTTGAGTGAATCTTGAGAAATTCTATTATTTTGTAATTTTCGGACAATTTGTTCAAAACATTCAACATACAGGGTGCGCCAAAAAAAGTATATCTATAAAAGTTTCGAAGTAATAAGAAATTAAATTTTACACATTGACTGTTTATTTGAGTTGGAAAAATAATTTTCCAAGTTTTTTTTTTTGCTTCAGGCTATTAGTTGAGGAAACAAAGAAGCTGTATCCTAAATTGTAACTCTGTTTAATGTGATTTGGGGCCTTTATTGGCAAACTTTTTATACCCTTCCTAAATAATTTAAAAATAAAAAGCATATACAAGATTATCAGTATCATTAAATAGACATAAAAAATGTCAAATGTCAAAAAATAAATGTCAAAATTTTTTGACTGAGAATTTTTTAAACATTTTTTTTATGTTTCGGGTATCTTATCTTATTTGAAATTTTTCTTTGGGGCGCAAGTTCTGACACCTTGTATTTTTATAAGTTTTTTATAAGAGTATAAAGAATTATCTAAATTTTTAGGTAATTGGTTCAGGTTTCTTAGGAATTAAAAAAAAGAAAATTTTAAAGTTTCATTTTTCAAACGTATTAATTTTAGCCAGTTAATTGAATAAATTCCTAAAATTTTTAGGAAATTACTGTAATTCAGAAATTTGGAATTTACTTATTTAATTAAGAAAATAAATTTTGTTATATAATTATTTTTTTGGTTATTAGCGAAGCAAATAATAATAGTTTTTTTTTGAAAACATGAAATTTAGAACTTTTAGTTTTAATAAATTTTGATTATTTATCGATATTTACCGTTTTTATCAAAATTTCATGGAATCGTTTTAAGAAAAATCTATTCGTTTTTGTATTACATTACCAGCCCAACCCCGATAACGAATTTAGTGTATTTTATGTTTTCAATGTTGATGACAATGCCGTTGAAGGTAAATAGCTTTCAATATTCTTACCAATTTTCTGAAATTCCTTACATGGAAAAATTTTAAGAATTCATTTCTTCGTAGATTACGCAAGCGACAAATATCAGTTCAAGTCATGTTCAAGTTGAATTTTCCAACACTTGCGTGAGTGACGTGTCAACAACCGACGCAAAATTTCCTGAATTTAAAAATTTTTTATTAAAAAAAACAGCGTAAAAAATGGTATAAAATACTCATAACAAAAGGCTATTCAAACAATCATTTGTTCAACTCGCCGCTGCGCGGCTTGTATCAGAATTTCAAACTCTTGCTTAAAAATATTATTTTGATTATTCATAAAAAGAAACTTTTTCTTTAGAATCTTCCTTTTGCCGCCGAATGCGAGTTCAAACCCGGCACCAATTCGTCTCTTTTGGGCAGTTCTTACTACCTTCCACCAACGACCGATCTGTCTCAACCACCACCGGGCTACAAACCTCAACCGCCGTACGAAATGGGTCAACACCAAAATAGTGATAACGATGTGCAATTCGTTAGCGGTGAAGGCGATAACGGAGGCGATGTCGAAGTACGTACGAATTACATACAATATTTTCTCTACGATTTTTATCGTTTTGGTATAGGTGATAACTTTGGATCATGGCGATTCTCGTAGCCCTTCACCGGCGGAGGACCGTTATAGTCGTCGAAGACGTAGCAGATCACGAGAAAGATCACGCGAACGACGCGATAGAGATCGTCGATCGCGTCGATCACGTTCACGTTCGAAATCAAGAAGGCATCGGTCGAGATCGCGTGATCGAAACCGAGTCAAAGAGAAGGAAACGGAGAAGGATAAAGAGAGAAAAAAACGTGGACTTCCCACCATCAAAAAGGATAATCTGAGCGGTAATAAATTAGTTAATGTTATTAAATTAGTGTTTTATGTGTTTTGATAGTATGTAGCACGACTTTGTGGGTCGGACATTTGTCGAAATTGGTGCATCAGGAAGACCTGTCGAATACGTTCGGTGAATTTGGTGATATCGTTAGCATCGATTTGATACCACCAAGAGGTTGTGCGTTTATTGTAATGCACAGAAGACAGGATGCTGCGAGGTGTCTTACTAAATTGAAGAATCATCTGCTGCATGGAAAGGCCATAACGGTGAGTTGATTTCTTGATTTTGTTAAAACAGAACGGGTTACTTTTTATTTCGAAAATTTTAATAAGAAAGTCTAGAGAAAAATTGTTTTCGGTTCAACGGACTGTAGAGTTTTTCAGCGAAATTCAATATTTGTTAAAGAGGGAAATTAGAGAAAAGACAGCTTTCTGTTGTTAATTAATTCCCATAAGTTTAAAACGTGTGTTTTGTGAACAAGTGCTGCATTACTAATAATATATTAAAAATTTTAATTATGTATACGCGAAAATAAACAATTTCCAATCTCGCGTCAATCGGAATAACAAAATCTAATCTAAGGATTTTTTTCTTCTTCATTTTAGATGTTAAGTTAATGGTAGCCTTTGTTGGCATTTTTCCGTTATTACTAATTGCTGGACATACATAATTTCTATTCAAAAAATACTCCTAGATTGATATACTAATTTAGTTTAAAAAAATTTCCAACTTTTTCTGTAATAGGAGCAGGCCCGTAGCTAGGGAGGGGTCAAGTACTTTGAATATTCTGAGCCCTACTTTAAAACTTTGTCTTTTTTAACAATTTCCTTTATAAATAACAACGCATAAACACATTGTTATCTGGTAAGCATAAAAACATCCAAAAAATTAAGTAAAGAAAATGCAAAAAAGAAGAAAATAAAATAAAAAAACTTAAAAAGTTATAGAAAGTTTTATACAAAGAGCTTTATTGTTCTTGTTTTATTTTATAGCGGGTGATTGTTTTTTGTTTTTATTTTTTTGTGTTTAAGTTTCATATTATGTGTTCTCATGCCAATTATTTTTAAAAATATACAAAAAACCATTTCCCCGTATAAAATAAGGCAAGAACAAAAAGATAAAGCCTTTTGTATTTGTTTTGCAATATTTTTTAATTTTTTTAAGTTTTATTTTTTTTAATTTTTTTTTATTATCAGAAAGATAAAGATGTGTGCTATTTAAAACAGTGAACAAAAATATCAGTTGTCATTAAAAAAAATTAAAAATGATGTCATAACTCAAAAACGAATGTCACTATAATGTCAAAATATAGCATTTAAAAAAATAAAATCGACCTGTTCAAGGATTTTGTTGAAAAACGACCACTAAAAAGATTTTTTTGTCCGTTACTTTTGGTTCACTCTGCATTAGCAATATTGTAATTGAATAAAATTTAGGTTTAAAAAATGGAGGTACTTTTTTTTGTTTTTTTTTTTATATTGAAATTTGGAACCTTTCAGTAACATTAGTTATAGCAAAACGTGTACTATACAAAACTGCAAAACCCCACTAAAGCAAGCCCCACTAAAAATTTTGGGCGCCCCACCTAAAAACTGTTTCTAGCTACGAGTCTGAATATAAGTAATATTTTTGTGAGTTATATTAATTTGAAATCGATTAATTACATACAACGAATATCATCGAGATGTTGTGAAACTTTTATTTTAGGTTTTTTCAACTATTTAAAATAAAATAAGAATTTAAATGTCACCAACTTAAATCATGACTTGAACACTTTTGAAAATAAAATGCGTGAATACATTCTTGGAAATTGTTTTTTCGAGCTCGCTTTTTTTCGATAATAAAATTGTTAGCATTACGGAATTGTAACACTGATTGATTTTGACACTATATGTTATTGATTTTATTCACAATCATAGTAATGCTGATTTCCAACCTTTTAGAGATCGGAAAACACGTCATTGCACCTCTCGGTCGGTAATATCCAAAATTACCTATGATTTTAGACTGCTTTAGTAGCTGCTCTTATTTCACTTTCAGACATTACAATATGATTGCAATAATTGCATCGAATATTTTTTTTAGAACAATTAAACTTTAAAAAAAATATAAGAAACATAATTACATGTCAAAAATGGCACAATCAGTTATATCAATGTATAAATTTTATTAGAAACAGATATTGTACTACCTATATTTGATTAAAAAACATGATTGTGAATAAAATAGAATCTAAACTTGGCTAGAATGTCATTAATGGTCGGACTAATTTGGTTCTCGTGGTAATGATATCCGCTTTGGCTGTAATATTTCTATTATGGTTTTTCACTCGCTGCTGATGATTTTTTTAACAAAAATCTTCTCTCGGGGTAGCTAAAAACGAGGTTTTTTAGCATTTCGTGTACGTACGGTTTTTGTATTTATATTATGTATGTATCAAGTGTTTTTTTTTTTCGTTGAATTTGGACATTTTCTAAGACAAATCAAAGAAAGGAAAAAAACTATTGTTACAACGGGTACTTTATATCCTTTTAACTACTACAGTCGTTTATGGAATCACAGGTAGGTTTATGGTGCGAAGAGTATTTCTGATTTTTATTTTGTGGTTTTTGTAAAAGTGTGTGCCTCGATAAAAAAAATTAAATGAATTTGCGAATTTTCTCAAAACGTGTCAACAAACAGTTTTCTCTTAGCTGCAGTTTTTCAAAGGTATATAATTATTTGTTGAGAAAAGACCAAAGGCCTTATGAATTCGTGCACGTCATATTTATCTATATTTTCATGTTGTTATTAGTATTATTAATTAATATGAGTGGTGTGTTGGTGTGGTATAAGTGGATATTCAATTATTAGTCGTAATTCACATCAAATGTGGAGCAATAATAACAATAAAAAATGGATGGTTTTGGATCGCATAATTGTTGTCTATCGATAAAAAACATTTAAGCATTATTATTTTTTTGCTTAGCTATTTTTTGATTCTAAATTTTTTTATTTAAAAATATTTTTTAGCAATTTATTGCTCCATTTTATAGTGAGTGTGGAAAAATGTGGAACTAGACGTTTTTACATAAAGTGTTTATTTTTTAAAAGTATTAAAGTCAGCAAGTACCAAACAATTTACTGTTTAATTTTTTTCTCGAATATATGGGTATTTTTTTATCGGATCTATACTTTTTCCACATTCTTTATGTATGTTTGAATAAATGAGTGAGTACGTAATATTTATACGTAATAACTTTATCTTTTCAATTTTTTACAGGGTCTCGTCTGTTTGCGCAATTTGAAACTGGCATAATATTTTTATTTATTTTTAATTGCCACCACCAGTTTCAAATTTTTGCAATAAATTTCCAATATTCATTTCTCCTTCCCTGTCATCTTACTCGCTTGTGTGCGATTCTTCTTTTGAATAAAACTCGGCTTTTTATTTTTAGCTTGCCTGGGCCCCCGGCAAAGGCGTGAAAGGTAAAGACTTGAAGGACTACTGGGAGGGTGATCTCGGCGTCTCTTACATCCCTTGGAGTAAACTGAAGCCCGACATTGACATCGAAATGCTTGAAGATGGCGGTATGATCGACGAAGACACGATGCCACCATGGATGAAGGCCAAAGTGGCGGCAGTCACCCCCAAACCAGCCCTCCCACCAGTGACTGATTCGGTCGACACGAGTCAGCCGCCTCCAGTGCCCGGCACCGGTCTGTTGCAGCCGCCTCCAATGGCTTTGCCTCTCGTTTCGCCCTTCCAATTCGGCAATCGTTTGTTGGGAATCCCTCCAGGGATGCTTCCGAATGTGCCAATCGGAGTCCCACCCCCCAATATAATGCCCAATCAGTTGGTCGGTTTAGGGTCACCATTCCAAGGCCAATTGATGCCGCCGATGGGGGCCGAACAAGGCCAAGGACAGGCGTCGGCGACCGACGATAGCTTAATGAATATGACGCAGCCATTCGGGATGATACCACAGCCGCCGATTGGTCTGTCTGCTCCACACGATGACAATATGGACATTGAAATGGAAGATGCGGAAAAGCCCGAAAGGCCGATGTTGTTAAGTGAGCAATTGCAAGCATCGTTGGCGCAGTTCAGCAGACAAGATATGGGAGATATCGACGATAGGAGAGACAGGGAGAGGAGGAGGAGTAGGGAAAGAGATAGGGAGAGGAATAGGTGAGTTGAGAGAAAGGTGAAGTATAAAGGGTGGGGATTTTGTAATGTGACGTGCACGAATATTTGGTAGATTTAAGCGGATTTATGCGGTTTGAGAAAATTGAATTATTGTGGTACTCGTCTAGCGTCTTGTTATTTTAGGATGTAAATTGTGTTGTCAAAAAAAAACGGCATCGTATTGTCCGATTTGATGACGATAGTGCTGCCAGTTGTTGCAAAAACTATCAAGTAGTAATAACAAAAAGGCTTCTTCAAGAGAACTACTTTAACATATTTCTAAAAAATGCAATGCCCGTAAACGTTAAGAGATTGTGGAGGGTGATTCCTTAGGTCAGTATAAGAAAAAAGTTCCAAAGGACCTTTGTCCGAAAATGCTTCTAAATGGATTATACATATATTATTAAAAAAGCCCCAAGCCATAACTCCATAATTTTCAAAGATGTGACAATACTTCTTAGAACAAAGTTGAACAATTTCTTTTTATTGTTTGGCATAACTTATATTTAATCAATGCTGCTTCACGTCTTACCGGAAATGACATCAATTTCAGTTTTTTAAATGAAGTATACTGTATATTTTTTATTTGTAAATTCCTCATTAAATTGTCTTTCAACGAGCTCACTTACTATTATTTATAATTTTAGGCAATTTTTAAATTAAATAAAGTCAAGTAGGCTGTGGAAAGAATAGAACATTTTGTTCATTTTTTCTAAGACAAGCGAACGATTGAGAACAAAAAACTGTTCAACTTTGATCAAAGAAGTATTGCAACGTTTTTAAAAGTAATGAAATTTTAGCTTGGGACGTTTTTTATAATCCAGCCTGTCCGATATGAATTACTACGGGGGTTGTTTTCGGAATTAAGATCGGTGCACATTTAAAAAAAATTCCCAAAACGCAAGTATTTTTTGCTTCAACTATTTACTTTTTGAAAAAAATATTTAGTCCATTTTAAAATGCTAGTATGAGTTCATTAAAAAAACTCGCAATAGGCGTATGTCGTCATACATATCATACACTAATTTATCTGTCATCTTGTCGCTAAGTGTATAAATATATTAATCAAAAAAATGCAAAATAGTCAGGGTATAAGATTCGAGGGGTGGTTCCCTAGATCAAAATAAGAAAACTCTTTTAGGACTCCTTTATGAGCATTGGAAGCATAGCAAGGACATAGGGATATAGAAACTTTTTTTCTTACACTAACCTAATAGTCTAAGAGCCTGCGGTCGCCAGACCTTCGTCATTTTATAAAACTTGAAAATTTGTCAGCGCATATTACCAACACAGGTAGGAACGATGTGCAAGTATGAAGTTTGGGTCATCGTGGCTTTAGGAGATAACAGGTAGCAAAGAAGTAAAAAATATTAACTTAAAATTATCAAATAAAAAAGCGTAATTTCTTTTTACTATTTTCTTCGGAATAATATTAGAAATCACCTCATCCATTGCCAGACACTTATATCGTGGCAACCCCTTGTCATACACTCTTAAACTTTAATAAATTGTAACTGTACTTACGTATTTTATACATGTTACTTAGATAACCATTAGAAGATGTTTTCTCAGCAGCCAGACAGTTTCGACAGTTCTAAGTGCTGTTTATAAAATAAAGTTGATTCAGTTTTGACAAAGTATCATCATGGGAAGCCTACAGCTACCCTATATATTTGTCGGGCCGAGGGTTAGAACTGTCAAAACTGTCTGGCTACAGAGTAAACATCTTCTAATAGTTACCAAAGTGACATGTTTAAAATTCAGCTTTTACACTATAACGTAAGTACAGTTACGATTTATTAAAGTTTAAGGGTGTCTTATAAGGGGTTGCCACGATATTAAGTGTCTGGCAATGGATGAGGTGATTTCTAATATTGTTCCGAAGAAACTATAAAAAAATTACGCTTTTTTATTCAATAAATTTAAGTTGGTATTTTTTACTTCTTTGCTATCTGTTATCTCCCAAAGCCACGATGACTCAAACTTCATACTTGCCCATGGTTCCTTCCTGTGTTGGTAGTATGCGCTGACAAATTTTCAACTTTTATAAAATGACGGAAGTCTGGCTACTACGGGCTCTTGCTCTATAAAGTAATCACGCCTAGAAATCTTTTAACCTGTTTATAAATAGCACTCTTGAGTTTTTTTTAAACGAAAACATATTGTAAAAATGTGATCGTGTTTCAAGAATATTCTTTTTCGAAGTATGTAGTTTTTAAGTTTTACAACATTTACAGGGTGCGCCAGAACTCGGGAACTCGCGCCCTAGAGGAAAATGCCATATAAAGTAAGATACCAGGAACATGGAAAAAATGTTAAAAAAACTTCGAAGTTATGAGGGTTTAAAGTTTGCACTTTGACAGGAAGCTGTAGCCTAAATTGTAACTCTGTTCAATGTTATTTGTGGTTTTTATTGGCAAAATTTTTGTACTTTTACTAAATAATTGTAAAAAAACATATACAAGATCACCAGTATCATTAAATAGACATAAAAAATGTCAAATGTCAAAAAATAAATGTCAAAATTTTTTGACAGATAGAATTTTTTAAACATTTTTTTCATGTTCCTGGTATCTTATCTTACTTGAAATTTTTCTATGGGGCGCGAGTTCTGGCGCATCCTGTATATTTTTTTAATGACAAACTAATATTTCAATTTTTTGCTCAAAGTGTCAAAGTAGAGCTGGGCTTACCGATATTAAAAAAGAAATATCGGTAATATATCTCGGCTGAATCGATTTACTTTCGATATTTGAAATCTATAATTAAAAATTGTGCTCATTTTTTATCAGATTATATTAAATAAATAAAAGAACAATATTTATTGTTATTATTGAAAAATTAAAAAAATATAAAAAACAAAAAATAACATTCTGTAATTCATTAGCCCCATTGTTAGTTGGTATACCGAAGTAATATTTTCTGAGATCAATAATAATTATTAACAGAACTTTGTAGCTCTTTTTCAATGTGCACTGCAGTGTGCGAGGTTTCAAAATAAGTAGTTGACAAGTTTTTTGATTTTAAAATCTTTTCTTTTTTCAATATTCAATCAAATTTCATTTGATAGCTCCGATTGAAGTTTTATTATTTTTTTCAATAAATAAATTATTCACATCTTTCCTATTTTTTTTTCCTGGTGGGCATAGTATATCTTGGCTCTAGAGTTATTTCTAGTGGAATGACTCTTTTATCTCCAAGAACCGAGTAAGGCTGTAAGCCTTTTGAAACCATAGTTGCTATTTCTGAATTGCTTGAGTGCATAATTTTTTATGACTTATGAGCAAGTCCAATCGTTGTTATTTACTTTTTCCACCAGTACCTGAAGCACTCCCTTGGTCATGTATTGAGATACTTATATGCACCAGTATGGTGCCTTTGAATGTGTTGAAGTAAATTAGTGGAACTTCCGGAATAAATAAGAAGCATATGCTATTTATTCATGGCTCCATTTACCTCGCATTTATTTCGCTTACTATTTATTTCCATCTATTTCTCGAAAATAAATTCTCTTTTCTCTGATGCGTTTCAGTTATTCAATTATTTTTGACCTGAAGATTAAATTGGGTTAAGTTACGTGTATACAAACTGTAAAATATAATCTCGAAACAAATTATTTCACTAAACTTACATTTTATGATATTAAACACAAAGTATTCAGCTTTCACAGAAAAACGGGGTTTGCTGAAAGTGAATACTGCATGAAAACAGCCACGATGTCGTCTGTCAATTTTTACAAACACCGAATTTAATAATTAGTAAATCGAATTGGAAATTTTAGGATTTGCCTTGAGCATATCGATGTAGCTTTTTTTTTTTTGCTTTTCATAATATTGATACATCGAATCAATACGTACACCTCTAGGTCAAAGTCTATGATTTAGAAATTACAGCTATCTAAAGAAATTATTTTAGCGCCAATATTTTTTTTTGTATACTTATGCAAATTAGGGTTTTTATGGAATGTAATAGTGGACAAATGGACAGTAATACACTTTTCCATTCTTTAAAGGTTACATAACAATTTAGAAAGTAGAATTCCGAGACATTCTAAGACATTAAACCTAATAATTAATATTTTAAATAATAATTGTAGCATTGGAAATAATAATAATTAATAATGCCTGAATGCAGCAATGTAATTTTTCTATTTAAATTTTATTAGTGTACTTGATTACCAAATTCCACAACATGGACGTGAAAAACATTAAGGAATGAAAATTATTTATTTGTTGCAGGGATAGAGGAGACCGCGGACGGGGCTTGGCCCGCGACGGCGGTTACGCCGACCGCGACGATAGCCGAGGTCGTAAAGACGATCGCCGAGACCGTCCGAACCGTTGGGGCGATCGTGATTTAGATGTGATGGAACGCCGCGAACGTGAAAAGACCCTCAACGATCGTCTCCAACAGATGGCGATGCCGAACGAGATACCCTACTCGAATCACGACAGACCGCCTCGCGACCTACCTCCTGAACCCCCTGAAATGATCGATCGTCGCATGTACAAAGGAGGTCCACCAATGAATCCCGACATTGTGGATATGGACATGTACGACATGCGAGGTCCACCACCTCCGGACGATTATGATCATGGAATGAACGGTCCGCCGCCACCAATGATGGACGATTATCCACCGCCGATGATGGATCATCCTGACGATTGGATGGACGGTCCACCAATGCATCCACGGATGCATCGCGATGAATACGAACACGAACGATTTGGACGAGGACGAAGGGATTTCAGGGATAAGTTTGAGCCGAGGGGAAGGGGGCCACCGCCGGGCGGGGATTATTACCCACCACCGCCACCGAGGGATGGATTTGGAGGGCCGAGGCCGCCTATGATGCGAGGACCGGATTTTCCACCACCGCCAAGACAGGGGTTGAGAGGTGCAGGGCATAAATTTCATCCGAGGGGACCGCCGCCGATGAGAGGATTAAGGCCGAGTAAGTTAATGTTTTCAATTGTTTGTTCTTGATGTTATATAAAATGCGAATTTAGAATCTGAATGTTGAATTTATGTAACTTGCAAAAATCTGTAATTGAGTTGCACCATCTTGCACCATCAGTTCCGCCACTGGTATTCACGTGTGCAGATTAGTTGCTTTTTTAATACGATCGGCTATTGTTTGCTCAAAATTTTGTGTCTGCGGCTATTCATATTTCGATTTATTACATCCAGAAGCGTCTCGTTAGAGTTGGAATTAAGTTGAAATGTTTAACCATATTTTCGGTTTATTCACCTATTGTAGACACTTCAATTTACATATTGAGTTGCATTTGAAATTCACCCTGTATATTTACAAAACATTTTATTGTGTCAATTATTTTTGCAACTGTTTCATTTTCAAGTATACAGGTGTCCCAGAGCTCCGTATTTCTTTGATTACTCTGACAGTAAAGACGATAACGAAATGCGATGATAGACATTCATTTTTTCTATGGTCCAAAAATATTTTCGTCATTATAGGTAATTTTTATATAGGGTGGCGCAACAAAGTTACATTTTTTTTTATGGAACACCCGATGTGTTGTACGCTTATTTGAAAGAGTTTTTAATTCTATGAATATCCATATTAGGTTTTATGGATCAGTAAAAATGGTTGCAATTGTTTTTATTCACTTTTTCTTTCTAGCAAATCTGTTGTGATTTTTCAAAAATGGTACTTTTTTTCCATAAAATTGCCCATAAATGATAAACGGTCCATGATGGACCCATAAAACCTAATATGGATATTCTTAGAATTAAAAACTCTTTCAAGTAAGTGCATAATATTCCGGGTGTTCAATAAGGAAAAATATAACTTTGTTACGCCACACTATATAGGAATTACCTATAATGACGAAAATATTTTTGGACCATAGAAAAAATTAATGTCTATCGTTCAATAGAAACCGCATTTCGTTATTTTCTTTACTGTCAAAGTAATCGAAGAAATACGGAGCTCTGGGACATCCTGTATATCTATTTGTACCCCAGTGTACTAAGTCACAAAACCACGAAGACGAGATAAATCGAATTGAAAATTTTAAAAACCCTTACGTTAAGTTAGAGTTAATCTTATTTAAAAATGCGCATCTTTGTAACTATCAAAGATAGAATCTAACACTATTTTGCACCAGCAGGCTGGGAAGAAATTACATATACGTAAATCTGTGGAAACCCAATTTTCAAAAAATTTGGAGTCAGTACATTTTTATTCTAGGGTTCAGATATAAATGAGTATAAACTTCACAGTGAAAACTGTTTAACCGACTACACAGGCCGACATGATTTTTGGGGTTTATAATGTTGTTGTCATTTTTTACTAATTTGGTGGCGTTGATTACAAAACCACCACTCGTTTTATTGTATCACATCAGGTTTTCGAAAAAAAAAAAAAACTATATGGCGGTAATTATTACTTGTCATAAAATTAAATAAAACCATCCAGTTTTAGCTCTCTTTCTGCCAGTTTTGTCTCATAAAAAACATACGAATTATAACAGCAACAACACCCAGTAGCAAGTACTAGAATAAGTCGTTGAATTTGTTTATAATATCCGTGCCATAATCATTGCATCATTGGCAACGACGCAACTGCGTTTTTTGAGGTAAAATAAGTCAAAAACATTTGATTTCTCTGTAAAAAAAGAATCTGTCTTACAACTGAATCCTACTGACAAATAAGCCAAGACGCTCCAGTTTTTCATACAGAAAATAACATTGTGAAAAGTGAGAGAAGTGGCGATGGCTGTGGCACGAATTATAATATTTATATTAAAGGGTTTATACAGGGTGATTCACGAGGAATAATGAGCCTGACCAAATTCTCGATGCAACCAACATTACATTTGTCGCAAAGCAACTTGCAAAAATGTAATGGTGGTTGCATTGAGAATTTGGTCAGGCTCATTATTCCTCGTGAATCACTCTGTATTAATGAAGCGTTAATATTTGTATTCGGGTCATTATTGGACTGTATTCTTTTTAACTTATTTTCAAATATTTTTCTTAACCCTTTTTTCCCACACTTCTAGTTTTGTTTTCTGTTTTATTAAATGTCCACATTTTGCATAGAACTATTAATTTTATTATCGTCTTGTAGTAGAGTTTCATTTTTGCTTGTCTCGAATAATTTCCCCCTATGTTTAATCATATTTGCAGTGCCCCTAACATTTTTTCTCTGCCATTTTACCCTACTTTAAATTTTTTTCACTACGTAATTTCCTTGTAAATACTGTTCCTAAAGAGATGAGATATGATTTTCCTGTATCAGTTTCTATTTGTATGTATGTATATTCTCTCTTCAAAATCTTTGTTTGTCCACTTCACATATTTAGTTTTTTTTTTTATTGAAACATTTCTTACCAAATAGTGTCAAGATCATCTGCAAAGGCATTGGTGGCGTGTCGTATAGATAATTCATGACCTGTTAATTTGTGCACCTTCTACAAAGTGGTTATAAAAGATTTTCATCTAGCCAGCTGTGAATTTTCCATGTAAAATAAAAAATGCCGCTTTAAGAAAATAGGGGTAGGTACCTACTTGTTTTAACTCAAAATAAAAAAATCGCCGGGCATTAGTAACATAATTTTTCCAAACAATAGATTATCAATTTTTTGTACTACCTATAAATGTTAAAATGTAGCATTGACAAAAATACAATTGACCTGTTCTTGGATTTTTTTTTAAATGCCCCATAATAAACACATCAATTTTGTGCATAATTTTAGGTTCACGCTGTATACAGGGTACGCAAGAACCCGCGCCCCATAAAAAAATTTCAAGTAACATATGTTACCAGGAACATGAAAAAAATGTTTAAAAAATTCTATCTGTCAAAAAATTTTGACATTTATTTTTTGACATTTGACATTTTTTTATGTCAATTTAATGATACTGATGATCTCGTATATGATTTTTTTACAATTATTTAGTAAATGTAGAAAAATTGTGCCAATAAAAGCCACAAATAACATTGAACAGAGTTACAATTTAGGATACAGCTTTCTTGTTTCCTCTTCTAATAGCCTGTAGCAAAAAAACTTGGAAAATTATTTTTCCAACAAAAATAAATACGAGTCAAAGTGCAAAATTTAAACATAACGTCGAAATTTTTATAGATAATTTTGTTTAACATTTTTTCCATTTACCTAGTATCTTACCTTATTTTTCTCTGGGGCGCGAGTTCTGGCGCACCTGTATACAGGCTGTCCCAGATAAGGTTTAGACTTCTAAACCCTAGGTTTTTTAGAAAGCTTAGTAAAAGCTCTACACGATAAAGTAATAACATACAGGGTGTTTCATTTGAAAAAATCAAGATAATTGCGAATGTCAACACTCTGCAGTAGTTTGCAAAAGATTTAATTTAAGTTCTGCCATACTAATTTAGGACCAGACTCAGTAAAAATGGTTGCAATTGTTTTTATTCACTTTTTCTTTCTAGCAAAGCCGTTGTGATTTTTCAAAACTGGTACTTTTTTTCATAAAATTGCCCATAAATGATAGGCGGTCTATGATACACCCATAAACCTAATATGGATATTCTTAGAATTAAAAACTCTTTCAAATAAGCGCATAATATACCGAGTGTTCCATAAGCAAAAATATAACTTTGTGGCGCCACCCTTTATAGAAATTACCTATAATGACGAAAGTATTTTTGAACCATAGAAAAAAATGAATGTCTATCGTCCAAAAGAAACCGCATTTCGTTATCTTCTTTACTGTCAAAGTAATCGAAGAAATACGGAGCTCTGTGACACCGTGTATATCTCTTATTATTTACTGTGGTTGTTTAATATTTATTTATATTCTTCTTTGTTAGCCTCTATTTTTAACTCGACCAAATGTTTTTAGACCGGCCTAATTTCGGCCCTCGCTTCGAACATCCGGACTTCCATCGTGGTCCCCCCGGAATGTACGACGAACCGCCTCACATGAGACACCGTGGCGGTGGCGGCGGCCGTTTCGAGGACCGCCGTCGACTTCGGCAAGATTTCCACGAGAATGTGGCCGAAAGCGACCGATTCCAGAAACGAAGTCGGTGGGGTGAATCCCACGACGAGCAAATTACAGAAACTGATCAGAATGGTGGAGGTGAAGAAAACAAAGGTGGAAACACACCGTTGCACGACGAACCGCCAATGAAAAACGACACGAGTCAAGAGGAGGAGACGATCGAAGCGCCGCCACCACAAGTGACGGAAAACGTCGTCGAGGAGAAAGTGGCCGAGTAAAGTCACGAGAAACTTAGATTTTTAAATAGGATAATATGTTTTGAACAATCGGACAATGCTTAGCTGTGATAGTGTAGTGAACACAGGTGACCCTTTGTCTTGTCATTTTTTATAAAATCAACAAAGGAATAAATTATTTTTATTAATTTAGTCATTGAATTTTGAATTAATTGTCTAGGTTTAATTCAACTAAGGTGATTTACAACGAAAGGTAGGTCCATCTGTGTTCACAACAGCTGAGAGGAGGAGCCCAGTGCCGACTTTCAAATGGAAAGTTTGGTGCAAGGTACGGTCCCAGTTCTATTTTTTATTCTTACAGTAATATATACATATGATGTGTAAAAAAGAATGTGTTGTGAAATGATTTTCGTTTGTAACACTGTACATATTTTGTGTTATTATTTATATCGGATTTTCTAACAGTTAGATAGACTGCTGTTGCATTAACCGATTTGTAGGCTTTAGATGGAGGAGGGCCGATGTGTAAATGTTACATTAAAAGTAGACAATTTGCATTTCTATTGAAAATCATCGGTTTATTTTTTGTTTGCAATTACATTATGTACAACAGTTTTAAAAACTGTCACACCAGATTAAAAAAATATATATTTGAGATTTTTGGGTGTACATAGGATTACATGTTAAGTCTTATAATAAAAATAATTCATTATAATTATGATTTATCACGTCCAAATACAATTTTTAAGATCAGATTTGTATGTTTTATCCCGCCCTAAGTAACATTTAACGCCAATTTGCGCATTTCGGTTTGCTCAAACTACGACAACAAAATTGTTTTTGAAAAAAATAATAATAATGTATTACGTATCAAGGAAATTTGAATTTACAATACATATTTCGTATGTGTACCTTGAATTAACAATTCTCCTGTCGCTTTATTCATAATTTTTACTTCTAGAAACGCCAAATTATCGACAATTCGATTAACGTGACCGTCAATAACAATTTCATCACCAATTTTAGGACATTTAATATTACTGAAATTATAAGTTAAACTAAAATGGAAATTAAAAAGTTACTTACTTCATATTTATATCGGTAGTTACATGTACATTCGGAATTTGTGACATTAACGCAAATCCAGAAATGCAATCAACAAGAGTGCTCGATAAACCAATGTGCAAGTTTCCTTTTTGATCAACGTGATCGTCGCCTACTTTCAATTCGACGGAACATTTGCCGTTTCCGATTGAAATTACATTTACCTGAAATATTTTTATTACATACTTTATAAAATTAATTTTTGTCTTACAAACTCACCTTTTGTAACACTCGATCGAATGATGTTTGTTGTCCTTGTAAAAATTTCGAAAGTGCAGCCACGTTTTTTAATAAGGGAAGTCCAGTCATATTTTCAGCAAAAATTTTTACCATACGCAAATATCTATTAAGTATATAAATATGTAATTCTCTTTATCACTTTAAGATAAATTCACTTAAATATGTGTTAGGTTAATTCTTATCTTTGCTGAATCACGCTTCAAAATAACGGTAATTTCAAGCTACAATTTTTTTTTCAAATTTAATCACTTTTACGAAAATTATGCATTCATTTTTGTTTTAGACCAGAGTAGGCTATTTTATTGTCATTCAGCCACAGTCTTACAATTCAAATTGCCAAATTCCCAGTCTAGTTTAAAGTGAAAATATGTGTATTTTACCTAGGTATTTAGACATTTTGTTTTTTGATTATAATTCGACTGTCCTATCGAAAACTACAGTAACTCATATAAATTGGTTTTGAGTTGCGATGGCTTATGTAGGGCCCAAAAAACAATGAGAATTTTTTTTTGGAATAAACAGTATGTATTGTTACCAAAACTTAGAACCTCAGCAATTTTCAATAATATTCCTCGATTTTTTATTAATAATCAAAGATTCAATGCAATTTTTCTCAAAACTGTAAATTTTGAGTTACTATAGTTTTGGTTGAATTAAAGTTGAAGTGTGCTGATTGGTGTTTAATTTATTAAAATTAAATATCTTAAAATCGACGTTATCTTTGAAATGTAATGTTGGTTGCTTCAAAAATTTTTTAGGCTCATTATTACTCGTGGGACAGCCTGTATATACAGGGTGTCTCAGCGAGTTGAAAAAGTCCTTTAGTGATCTTTAAATGGTAAAATTAATTGATAGATACTAATCTAGTCCATCGTCTAAAATTAGTTTCAACTATGCAACATATCTCAAAAATAAGTTACAATACAAACTTGTGTTTTTTTAAATAAAACACCATATGAAACACCATTTTGAAACTCGGGTAGTAGGTACAGGAAAAAAAACAAGAAGTAATAATACAAAACTGATGTAATTTATTATTGCGTTTATAAAGTGCATAACATGGACATGGTTACAATGTATAAAAATATAGTTACAAGTTTTTGTAAGTTAATCAATCAGCCAACAGTACAAGACGTCACAAACCAGAAAATATTCGTTACAAGATGGGAAGAACCATCAGTAAACTAAATTTTTTTCTAAAATCAAAATCATCATCGAATCACTTGACCCAACGCTAAAATGAACATCACACAATTCAACTCTCAGCTATTTCACCAGCAAGAATCCTTGAACATTTGCGATGAACTTATCGAAATTATCTCTAAATTTCAACTTGGGTTGTCTTCCACCATTCATGGCGACATTTAATGTCAAATTATGAAACGCTGCTGCTAATCTATCCGCAATTAACGGATCCGTTTGCGATTTAATCAAACTATCGACTAAAATCGTATACTCTTCCTCGTAGCAACAAATCAGAGCGTAGATACAAGTACTGGCCGAACTCATCAAATCCGAATTGATTTGATGCGATAAAGTGAGATCAAGTAGCAGTTTTAAGAAGGGTTTCATCGCTTGACAAATCGGACTTTGCTGAAGAGAATTCCTGAAAAAGTACCAAGTCATTCCTTGGATAAAATCGAGACACGCTTGGGCTATATCTGAACCGAATTGAGTCAAACCCAACTCGATTGAACTCAACAACTGTTGAAACAAAGTCGGAGAGAGATTGCAAATCTTCTCCGGATAAATATCATTGATCAAAACCAACAATCTGTAATATTGCGAACAAAGACTTGGATATTTGAGCAAATCTATAGTCATCAAAGGCATTATAAAATTCAAACCAAACAAAGAAACATCGGACGCTGTCACTGTGACCACTTCCTCGTCATTGGGACACAAATCGATGCAATCTTTTGATAGGATAAAAGTCAACAGATCTAAAATCAAGGCCAAATCTTGAAAACTATTCTCTTCTGCTAAACTCTCCCCACTAAACTTGTTCCCATTACATTTGGCATAGGCTTGCACTGTTGCCAACGTACTTTCGTACAACTTCTTACTATCAAGTTGACACAAATAACACAACATGTTTTTAGCACACTGCCCAAACAACTCCAAAATCAGTTGTACGATGACTTGATAATTGTTGTAAAACGTGAGAATTTTCGGCAGTTCTGCCAATCTAGGCGCCAGAAATTGGAAGAGGATTTGAACGGTAGACATGTGCGAGCCTTTGGCAATTCCGATGAAGCTTTCCAAAATGTCGATGATTTCCTTTTGGACTTCCTCTTTGTGGTAATTGGCACGAAAGTTTTCCTCCTGGTTGATGAAACGATCGAAACGGGTGTGAAGAGGGCGCAGGATTTGGTCAAAGTAGCCGTTGAGTTCTTGCATGTCGCGGAGCGCGACACCTGCTAGGATAAAACTTTTGAAGAGTTCGCGACGAATGGTGGAGGGGAGGCCGCCAGGGGTGAGTTTCTCTTGCAGAGTTATGAGGTTCCAAAGGCTTTTGCTCTTGACAATGCATAAGGACCTGGAGTGAGTAAAAATACTAAAATTCAAACAAATCTTCATTGAAAATACTTTTATCTTCAAGCGGTCGAAAATCTATCTCTATAGAAACGGTTGAAGTGGCTTTTTGTAAAGTCCATTTAAAAAAAAAACAAAGTGTTGTCATGTTGGTATCAGCCATTAATTATTTGATGTTATTACGTTGGTAACGTGATAATTGTATGTTAGCCGTTTTGTTATGAAGGCGCTTGCGCTACTGAAGCCGCAATTCCCCTAACCTTAATCTTACCTAAAAATCATTTTTTTAAATAAATGTGTACCCTAGGTAGCAAAAAATAATTAAAATTAACAACGTATTTAACATAAAGATTTTTGTCACTATTAATGTGATTAGATTTGTTCTGAATGACATTAATGACACTTTTTGTGTGAACCAGCCTTTAAATTAAAAATGCATTTAGACTTCGACAACCTACTTGATGCACATTAATATGAAAAAGAGTATAGCTCTCGTACGAGTTAATTGAATTATAATACTTGTTCGAATAAATTATTGTAAAATTGTGTTTTATCTCAAGAAGAGTCGTTTATACAAATGAGTTTCCGAAAGCAAGGATCTGGACTCTAACACAACAAGAAAGTTAGCTATGATTAGATTTTGTGAATATACGGGTTGCCCATTTTATTTGTTTCCGTCTAAAATTTTATAAACAGGCATCGAATTTAACTTTTCATATGAGATTTTGTGTTTAAATTGTTATTTTTTATAATAAACGAACAGACAGCTGCCAATCTGTCAGTGAATTTTCTCAATTTTTATTGCAAAATTAATTGAAGTTGTAATTAATTCGTGACATTTAATTTTTTATTTTTTTTTTATTTTTGAATTTAAGTTTTCAATGTCAATAGTCAGTATCGGCTATGATTATTCGATTTAAAATAGTTAATACTTTACACAAAGTAGTTTATAAAAAGTATAATATGTTGCCTATTTTTGTTCCTTGTTCCTTATTATACAGAGTATTCCGTTTTTAGTGTTACAAATTTAAAGAGGTGACAGAATATTCAATTTTAAGACAAAAGATTCCTATAAACACGTATCAAAAAATGTTATGTAATCGAGCTACACCCCCTGAAAGAGATGCGTTTTTTAATGGGGTTTTATATATATATATATATATATATATATATCTCGTGAAAAAAAAATTAAATTTAAAATCTGTGCCCCGTTTCATGTTTTTCAAAATGCTGCGAATACGGTTGAAGATACAAGAAAAATGTAAGAAGGAAAGTTGTAGAGAATAAAATTTTCTAATAAGAAGTCCGAAAGACCATACCTCTATCTTTAAAGGTTTAGGCCTCAAAGCCGCTCAAGCGAGGGATTCGTTTCATTTTTACTGGTGATTCAGTGCCAGAGGAACACGTTAAAGTAATTTAAACCTAAACTGTTGAAGGTAGAAATATGATCTCGCGCACTTTTTTGTAGCAAAATTTTATTCTCTACAATTTTGTTTGTTACACTTTTTTTGTATTTTAACCGTATTTGCAGCGTTCTCAAAAATATTAGGCGGAACGTAAACTGATAATTGTTTATAATTTACTCTTAATACTGTTTTCGATATTTTTGAGAACGCTGCGAATACGGTTGAAGATACAAAAAAGTGTAGGGAACAAAGTTGTAGAGAATTAAATTTCCTATAAAAAAATCCGCGAGACCCATATCTCTATCTTCAACCGTTCAGGTTTAAATTAATTTTTTGTCTCTTGACCACCGGTAAAAATGAAACGTGTTCGTTACTTGAGGGTCTTTGAACGTCTTTAGGACCTAAGATAGAGGTATCTCCCGCGGGCTTTTTTTTGAGAATTTTTTTCTCTACAACTTTCTTTTTTGTATTTCTCTTGTACCTTTAACCGTATTCGCAGCATTTTCAAAAATATGAGACGGGGGGTGTTCCAAAAGTCTGGAAACGATGTTATTCTGGCGAAACTATCAAATTTTTTGGCAAATAAATTTATAAGTGTGCAATGGCTATAAAAATGCTATTAAATTTTTTTTTTGAACATTAATTATTTGTTTATACTTACGAGATAAACATAGTAACATTGTTTTTTTAAATGGAAACTTACCACAATTTTTTTAGACAACGAGCTTGTTACAAGAATTGTTTCCATGCAAAAAATTTTTTTGTAAACCTCACACTTTTTTGTTAAAAAAATGTTTGACTTACAAGAATTAAAGAATCTTTTTGAGTAAACTACCAGTTTTATGTATGTTTATGCATTTTATAAATGTACAAAAATATTTATTGAAAATGTTACAATTTACGTTAAAAAAATTATAAACTTTATCTATTGTCAAAATTTTCTTCCACCGGCCTATGTTAAGATCGACCATCAGTGGTAAGCACGCCTTCTTTTATGTCATTGCTATGGCGTCGTCATTTTGCTTTATTTTCCAAATAAAAATTGTTTCTCTCTGGAGCGCTTTGGCTTTTTGAGACAACAGCACACGTTTCTTTATGTAATAAATATTTGAATATTTCTATAAAAAAAAACTATTAATTTGTTTTCAAAAAGTAATAGCATTATTTTGTATTTACAAAAAAAAAAAATAGTTGCAATTATTATCTACATAAACATTACCCTCCCTACAATTGTGTGACTATTTGGTATCTGATATTAACCCTTCCGATCGAACGATGGTTTCTTGAGCATCTACTGCATCCCACAAATAATTCAGATTTAAATATTTCTATTTCTACCTGCATTAATCTCTGGTGCAATATTCTTACAGCTTAGTTAGGAAATACCCACCCCATCAATAAAATTTTAATATCTATCTTTGAATATTGTCGTCTTTGGTACACTTTGTGTAAATATTTATTACATAAATTAAAAAAAGGTGTGCTGTTGTCTCAGAAAGCGCTCCAAAGACAAACAATTTTTATTTGGAAGTAAAATGACGACGCCATAGCAACGACATAAAAGAAGGCGTAATAAGCTTAATGTGCTTACCACTGCTCGGTCATAACCGACCAGCCCTTGGCCGGTGAAAGAATGTTTTGACAACAGATAAAGAGTAAAGTGGTAGTTTACTCCAAAAAAGTTCTTTAATTCTTGTACGTCAAACATTTTTTTAACAAAAGTGTGAGGTTTACAAAAAAAAAAATTGCACAGCAACAATTCTTGTAACAAACTCGTTGTCTATAAAAAATTGTCGTAGGTTTCCATTAAAAAAAAAGTTACTATGTTTATCTCATAAGTATAAACAAATAATTAATATTCAAAATTTTTTTGAATAGCATTTTTATAGCCATTACTCACCTATACATTTATTTGCCAAAAAAATTGATAGTTTCGCCAGAATAACATCGTGTCCAGACTTTTGGAACACCTGTATATCATTCAGAAAAGTTTTTTTTTTCGCCCTTTCGGCCTTCAATCTCTGGGCTTAGCACAAAAAAACTCAGTTCTATTCTTAATAATTTCCCTAAAACTCGTCGCTGCTCCTGTAAACTACGTCTAAGCTACGAGATATACAGCGTGAACAAAAGTATATTTTGTCAGCTTAACATTGACTTAGTTTATACGAATGGCGTTTACTTACTGTTTTTGTTTGATGCAAACAAGCGCCGTGAGCAAATCCACTGTATCCCTCAACAAAATCGGCTCCGAGTTGAAATGACAAATATTGGAATAAATCTTATCCAGAATAAAATTCACGACAAAAATCGCCCCTTCTGTATCTTTCCCAACAGCCCCGATCAAAACCGGACTGATCTGAAACAAGCACAAAATTTCAAACACCTCTCACCCTGCAACCCATCTCCTCACCTCTTGATAATAATTCTCCACCGGCAAAAGATACGACAAGCACCACCGTTTCAAAAACCACATGATGGTAGAACTCACTTCCGGACTCATAAAATGTCCCAATTTCGCTTCAGCCGCTGAATTTTCCACCACACATAGTTTCAAAATGTCTGAAACGATGCGTATGATGTGGTCGCAGCGGTCGACATCCGTCGGCACATTGCCTATTTGGTGGACTGAAGCCAAGACAGTGAGACTTGATTCGAGAGTACTGTTATTTTGACGTAGTTGTTCGATGGAGTATTGCATCATTTCGGAGGGGATCATTGGCGTTTCGCCGTCGCTGTCCATGCAGAGGATATGACCGGCGATCAGAATCACCCAATGGATGTCCTCGAAGAGGTTGTCCAAGTTGCATGATTCGTTCACATTCATTGCGCGGGATTCCATCAGTTGTAAACTCATCTTTAGTTTCTCGATGTTGATTTCCAGGAGTCTGAAATTATTTTCGGAATAAATTTGAAAAAGTACACCCGGGGAATAAACTATTCACCAGTCTAACTTTGTACTCGGGCTGCGCTTTGTCGCAATAGCGTTTCAGACTAACTAGTTGGAGAGCAGTTAATATGTCGAAAAACCCTTATTTAGGAAGTTGGTCCGGACCAGAAAAATATCTTTTTGTGAAAATTACTTCAATGAGCATAGATTATAAATAACGTATACATTACATTGTAATTATAATAAACAAGCTTTCTCAAATTATCAAATTACGAATAAGTACATAAATTTAGTTAAGAAATGTATTTTGCAAGTATACAGTATGTTTCCGGATTAAGTTTACAAGAAGAAAAAAAAAATTACCTTTGACTTTACGCTACTGCAAAGGAAAAACATTTTTAGCTTGACTTGACTTTTAAGGTTCTTTATCTACAGCTTTCAAAAATCAAGATTGTAGAACTCGTTTTAAATGCTAGAATTTTTTAATAAACCGTGAATTTTGCCAATTTCTATTTTTTATTTATTTACTCATATTGTAAATTTACAAAAAATACAACAGAGTGTCGTCAGGAGGCACATAAAGGCAGATACATGAAATCAAACGAAAACACATTAAAATATACAGAGACTAACAACTGCGGTTAAAATACTCATTAAAACTGTACAGCACTTTATCACTTAGGAAATTTTTAACATATTTTTTAAAAGTATAAATAGTTGGAGAGGGTTTAATTTGTAAAGGTAAAGAGTTATAAAATTTGCAGCAGGTATAAAGCAAACTTTTTTGAAAGAGTGTAGTTTTATGCTTTGCTGGAATTAGATCCTCCCTATTCCTTGTTACATATGTATGTGAAGATTTGGTGTTTAAAAAAGTCGATTTATTTTTATACACATAGCATACAGCCTCGTATATGTAAATATTATATAATGTCAAAATTCCTAGATTTTTGAATGCAGCCCTACACGAGTCACGCCTCCCAAGGCCAGCAATATAGCGTATTGCACGCATTTGCAACATAAAAATCTTTGGTACTTCAGAAGACGTTCTCCAAAGGAGAATTGCATATTTCATTACACTATGGAATTTTTTTGAAACAATAGATGTAAAAAGCATACAATTTGTTTTTTGTACATTTATAACAAGTTTATTTTTTTCAACCCAGTTCACAATTCTGTTAAAAATATTACTTGCTAGTGCCAATGCGCTATCGTGGTCTTTACATTGAACTAGAATGTTTGTATCGTCAGCATATGAAATAGTGATACTTTGCGGACTTTGTATAAAAGAAAAGATATAATTTATATACATATATTATAAATAATGTAGGACCCAGAATAGAACCCTGTGGAACCCCTTGATTTATTTCTTTTTCATAGGAAGTTTTTGACCCAAATTTAACTTGCTGAAATCTGTTATGTAGGTAGCTTGATAACCACTGTAGAGCAACACCCCTTATACCATAAGATTCAAGTTTCATCAATAATATTTCATGATTAACCGTATCAAAAGCTTTGGTAAAATCTACGAAAAGTCCAAGTGCTAAATCTCCTTGATCTACACCAGAGATAATGGCGCCAATAAAGTTATTTAAAGCCGTATCTAAGCTTTTATTTTTACGAAAACCATGTTGACAGGCTGAGAAGAGGTTATTTGAAGTAAAGTACTTAACTAATTGATTATTTACTGCCAATTCAATAATACATTTTATAATAGCCAATCAAAAGAAAACAAATTTTTATCTTTGATTTTACGCCCAAAAGGCAAAGGAAACACTTTTTTTCTATAGAAGATGTTAAACTATTTCTTTATAAACTCTTTTGAGTATATAAAGTAACACTGTAATTAAAACTTCATTAATCTGACTCAGTAGAAAGAAAAGTTAATTTTTTCTTACTTTTGGACTTGTAATAATTAATAATCTTTCTTTGCTTTACCATTGGCGATTTTATTTTTTTGACAACGATGTCACTTTGACAATTAATTAATTAATTGAATAATGTTTGTTTTTGTTGGAAGCTGTTTTTTTGACTTGCCATTTATTAAAATCATATTTTTTACAAACATTTTTGTTATTTAACTTACGTTAACTCATCTGTCAAAGCGACATCGTTGTCAAAAAAATAAAACGCCAATGTGATGGGATTTAAAACGCAGAGAAAAAATTACACTAGTTTACACGATTTTTATACCTTAGCTGAAAGTTATAACTTCTTATAGATTTTGAGGCACTGAGTTCAAAAAAAACTACTTGAAAAAGTCCACCACGTTACGTTTAAGAAATATGTAATTAACAAAAATACAAAAACCGCCAAAGAACAAATTAAAAATGAGTTATTTTACTTTTATTATTACACTTTTTTGAATCAGTTTTCTTTATAACAATCCAACAGTAATCTACTAACATATTTTCATCCCAAAAACCTTCGTCTCGATCTTTGAAAACCCTTTAGATCTTGATAAAAACGCTAGTCTTGTTTGTCAATTTTTAGAAAAGAAGTTCAAATGCGAGTGAAATGTTTTTAAGACCTATTTAGACCCATATGGTAATAATTTTGCAATAATTTGAATTTAAATAAAAATTAAATCGGAGGCATTTGTGCAGAAAGCAGGAAAATTATCGTCTATAACAAAAAAGTGTGACGTGATAGAAAAATTTAATTTTTGTTTAATTAAAAGTAAGTTAACAAAAAAATAATAATTCGATTAAAGGTATATTAAACATGTTATTGTTTGTAGACTATAGTGTTATTAGTTATTATTACAAGCTCAAAATCAAGAGAAAAATTAAATTTTCTTTCCACTGAGTGAAAATAATGAACTTTTAAAATTACAGACTTACTGGTGAAGTAAAAAATGTTTTTCTTTTGCAGTGTTAGCGTAAAATAAAAAATCCGGGGACATACATAATATTAGTTACTATTATTATTATTATGGCTTTAAATTTACCACTTTGCTTTGTTTAGAAGTAATAAAAATAAATATAAAAAACGGGAGAAACTAGCTGCTATTTGTTAATAAAATTAAAAGTAAATCACAAAAATTTTGTTAAGGTAATGAAATACATGGGCATACATTTTTTTCTCTAAAATTTGCTTTGTGTCATTTTGCAAATTATTATAATCACCATTTAATAATCTATACTCATTGAATAAATTTTCAGAAAAAGACCATTTTGAAGAAACGTGTGTCCTCGAGTCCGGACCAACTTCCTAAATAAGGATCTTTCGACATATTACCTGCTCCCCAACTAGTTAGTCGGAAACACTATTGCAACAAAGCGCAGTGTGAGCAGAAAGTTAGACTGGTGAATAGTTTTTTCCCCGGGTGTACAAAAATTGTACTGCTATAGATTTTTTATTGAATTAGAAATCTCACTTGTAAATAATGGGCAACGCGTATCCCGGTACGATCCTCCCAAACATCCCAATCGTCTGCAACTGATCCTTGAATGAGATCCTGTCAATATCTTCGTTGTCTTCGATTTCTTGGACATCGTGATTTTGTCGAGCGCCATCTGGTGGTCCCAAATGATACTGAATGTAAGTGTTAAAAATTTGCGTTGCACATTCCTGAATGCTTCCATTTGTATTTGCCCCATATTCTTGCAGGATGTTTGTCCAGGCTTCCATCATATTATCGAACGAATCGTTGTAGTATTTTTCTTCATCGGAAGACTATGAAATAAAATCAAGTTAATCGATCGATGTGAAAAATGCGACTTACCGTATCTTCTAGAGCTGCACCTTTGCAAAACGAGCACGTCAAACGTGTCAGTTCATCTAAATACGAGTCTTGGAGTTGCGATGTTAATTTCTGAATGTCGCCGATGAAAAAAAGGATTAGTTTCTTGACGATGTTGGATATGCCGAGCGATTCTTTGTTTCTTATTGTTATACTAGAAAAGTTAAGGAACAATTAGATTTTAATTCTCGTAGTGGGAAGAAATAATTGTTCTTAAAATTTTGACATCCTTAAAAGCAAGCAAATGAACAGGGTGCTGCATTTTGGATGTCCGAATAGGAAATCTCCGAAACTAAGAGCTTTAGCCAAAAGCGAGTAATACAATCTGGGGCTCATTTTTTGAGAAAATAATATTAATTAAAAACGCATCCCGCTATCGTCTTTTGTTTTCGACCTATAGACAAAAACTGACATTTTAGCGAAATCTAAAAAAATTCATATGTTCGTTATTATAGAAGACACAGATTTGAAATAAAGACATTATACAGGCACTTTTTTACGTAGAATTTAATAATGTAGTTAACAATTTTTTTCAGTTGTTTGTTTAGCTGTAATAAAATAAACTTGTATTTTTTAATGGGAATCATAGATGGCTAATCATTTTTAAAAAGCTTGTTTCTTTCTTATCTAAAAAATATAGAGGTATTTGTAAAAAATTATTATAATACATTTTTAGCAAAAAAATATGTTTGGTTTTTGTTCGCAGTTGGCCATGAAAAAATGTTGTATCTTCAACTAAAAGGATTTAAACTATGTTATTCAACCAGTGTCACTAATGAAGAAGTTTTCTAAGTACTAAGTAATAAAAAAATGTAAAATAAATCGTAAATCAACTTATTGGCGACTAATAACATTTCTTTGTTTTTAAACAAGCTAACATTACCATTGTAACTTCTAGTGAGACATAGAGTGTTGTAAAAAAGCCGCTTTAATTCTTCAATAATAGTATATTAAAGAACAAGTTTTATAAGGGTTGATTTGGCGCACGAATCCCAAGTTAGAAAACGAGCCGTAGGCGAGTTTTCTATGGGATGAGTGCGCCAATCCCATTATAAAACGAGTATTTTATGCTATTTTTTCTAATTTGCGCCCCCTTTTTTCTTATTTTAATTAAAAAAATATTTTTTTTTGTCGCCTAGAGAATTTTGTGTTAGTTGGTATCGGTTGGTAACACTCGACGCCCACCTGTTTTTTTCAGTCATTTCTGCCGTCTGTCATTAAAAATAAAATTCACAAATTATTAGTTATTAGTGTTACAACATAATAATAATAAATAAAATATGAGAAACAGAATTTAGTTTGCATTCCGCCCATAATTCGCCAAATTGCCGAAGCAACAACACAAAATTTGTTACCTGACAAGTCAGAAGCGACATCCAAAAACTAAATAACCCTAAATTCATTAAAGTACAGTGTGCTTTTATAGATAGCCATAAACGACTCCTACTGGAGACGTTAATAAACGTATTATAAACGCAAATTAGAAAAAATATATTTTATATGACACAAAAATGACGATATGACTATGTGGTACGTTAGCCATCAAAATTTTTTTTTTCTAATTGTGTTGACTGTAGACACATTTATTTTTCCTATTTTTGCATTTTTTAAAAATATGTAATAATTTTGTTCTGAGGCGCTCGCATATTTGTTTAATACTTCGTACTTATCGTATTTTTTAAATTGTTATAATTTCATCTATTTTTTCATCTAACTTACACAGTTCACAAAACTCTTATTGATTATTATTTACACATTTGGAGTGAAATAGTTTTTCCATGGCCAACTATTATCAAACAAAATATGTATTTCATTTTCTAAGTATAATTATAAAAGAATATTGTTACAAATATATATTTTTTAGATCAGAAAAAAATAAGCTCTTCAAAACTGCCATAGCCGCCTATGATTTCTATTTATTTGTTAACTACATTATTAAATTCCTCGTAAAAAAGTGCCTGTATAATGTCTTTATTTCAAATCCGTATCTTCTATAATAACGAATATGTATATGATTTTTTTTAGATTTCGCCAAAATGTCAACTTTTGTCTGTAAGTCGAAAACAAAAGACGATAGCGAGATGCGGTTTTAACTAATATTATTTTCTCAAAAAATGAGCCCCAGAATGTATCAGAATCCAAAATGCAACACCCTGTACAATTTGTTCATATTTTTTCACATTTATTGACACTGGTATAAAACATTAAAATTATTTCTTAAAAGAAGGACAATTTTCGTTCTTTCCTGCAAAAAAGCAAATTTAGACAAATTGCTTTCTGAAAGTCTGCTCCTCAATTATTTATATCGAGACGGCGATGAGTACAACCATAGGCAAAAAATATCGGCATTAAGTTGTATAACTTATATGAGTATTCATAGAATTACGATTTATGTAATTAAAATAAACTTTAGAGTTAAAAATAATTGTGATGTTATATAGTAAAACATACCTAGACACGAGATTTGTAAAATTAACCATATAAGACTTCAAGTATTCCAATCTGACGGAGTCTGACGACAGGACTCCTCCATTCAAAGAAGCCAACTGTACAAGACAGGTTAACGCATGATGAGACAACTCGTCGTATTCTCTCACTTTCCAAAAAATTTGAAACATGAGGGGTAACAATTGCGGTGACAAAATAAGTTCACTCCAATTATCGGATAATTTCAACGATGGGGCATGGTCAGCCTCATAAACAGACTCGTAGATGCCGATTAATCGTTTTGGAAGTATTTCTAGTTAAGGAAAATGAACAAATAAAAAAAAATTAACTTGTAAAAAATTAAAGAAATTCATATAAAAGGATATAGAGTGGCGACATGTACCCCCACGTAAGAACACTTTCAGTAACCTTTAAAATATGCCTCGTCAATTCTAACACATTGTCAGGATACGGGGGGTCATTTTTCACAACTTCAGACAACAATTGGACACAAAATTGAAAAATTCGTTTCAAGTCAGTTGACTCGAATTGTTTTTTGGCTTTGAAGTGCACTTCCCAGGGCAACCCCACATCGGTTGACTTCACCGTGCTTGCGTATTCTTGCATCAGGTTTGCGATGATGTTGAAACCCAAAATTTTCTACAATTTTGTTTTTTCAAACAATTCAAGATAAAATAAATACCGACTTTTTCCGGTTCCGCGTTGAGAATTATACTTTCGACTTCTTGCAAAATCGTGCCTCTCTCGCGCCCCCCATCGTCCACACTAGCCCTTTTGACCATAATTGCGATGACTTGGATGATCCTGTCTCGGACGAAAGGGGGCACTTGTTTCGTGGAAATATAATGCATCAAGTATTGCCGTAACGAGTATTTATCCGAGTCGGACAAGAACGACCACTCTCTAATAAGGGCACTTTTGATAGTTTCAGCTGCTTCAAAAAGAACATAATGAACTTGGCTCTTGTCCAAAATTTCACGACAAATAACGAAAGGAGTTTTACATTTGCGAAAATTTATAAAAATTGCTTCGGCATTGTGTCGTTGTTCGTTGCTGATAAGATTTGGGGGCGCCTGAAAGACACTAATTAATGGCAATTGGGGTTGTAGAAAAGTCTTACCATGACGATAGCAGCGGCTGATTCCAACTCAGAAATGAAATTGTCATTCATTTTGAATGAATATGGGATAAAAAGTGATCACATTGAAGAAATTACGCGCAAAAAGACCGTTGTTTAGTTTGCACAAAGTGAGGTTAGGTTCGAAATATCAACCCCCCACCCTTTGTAAAAAAAGGAGCGAGAATAATTAATTAATTAGACTATTTAGACAATTACGATAAAATTGAACACGACATGTCGTTTTAGTTGCATTTTTTAATCAAACAAGACTGTTACAATTTTATATTGTACCAAAATATTTTTTTTTGTCAGAAACGTCACTTGTCATTTTTCCCTAACCTAAAAGTCTTATATTTTTCGAGTAAAAATAAAAATTTGTAAATCATAAGTAAGTACGCAATAAATCTGTGATTGTGATTGTAATTTGATGTAATTTTAGAGAAAAGACCCACAAATCGTAAACAAACTTATAATTTTAACGAAAATGATCAACAGTGAAAATAAATTCGGAAATAAGTACGTTGTGCCCCAATCCTTGTTAACTTCGGTGGTGGTTTTAATTTGAATTGATTTTAGGAGAAAGGCCGTGGTGCCCCCTCAAGGAGTTCGATGTCAGAAATGTCTCGAGTATGGACATTGGTCTTATGAATGCAAGGGTCAAAGGAAATATTTGCACAGGTCTTCGAGGACACAACAATTGAAAAAACGTATGAAACTTGTTGAAGAGAAAGCAGCAGCGACTAAAAATAATGTACAAAACAACGAGAAAAAAGAATCTAAGGATTCTGATAGTAGTTCAAGTTCAGATAGTAGCAGTGATAGTAGTTCCGATTCTGAAAGTTCGTCGTCCAGTTCAAGTAGCAGCGATGAATGATTTTGGATGTGTATTGCTTATAAGTTATATGTATTTTTTAAATAAATTTTTATAGACAATGAATTATTATTATGTTGCCGACCTCGAAAAAATGTTTATTTTTGTTAGGTTAGTAACTGTTCTTATTGGAACTACTACGATGCTAATGATAATGGGTTGATTATAATAACAATTCATAAAGGTGGTAGAAACAACATGTTCTACTTGTGAGAAAAGCTTTCTTCATGCTCGGACTGGAAGCTTCGTGCCACTCGCACAACAATAGTTTATTATTACAATCTGTGTTATTACCCACAAAAAACTGGATGGCACACCATACAGGCTGTCTCAGCGAGTTGAAAAAGTCCAGTAGTGACCTTTAAATGGTAAATTTTTTAAAAAAAATATATAGGATATTGATAGATACTAATCTAGTTAATCGCCTAAAATTATTTTCAACTATAGCTACAGCGTGTCTCAAAAATAAGTTACAATACAAACTTGTGTTTTTTTTTAAATGAAACCATATGTTTCTTAACGTTTTTGGATATAGATTTTTATGACAATGTTTTTAAGCAAAACTTTTATTGGTCGATTTTGATTAGTTTTAAAAATAAGACGTTTTTTTTGACAAAAACATGCACTTTTTAAAAATTTATTACACAAAAATTAAGACAGCTAGAATAAACGTTTTCTATGTAGTTGAGGTCGGGACTTTAAAATAGTGCTTCAGTTCATTTATACCTAGACCACCCATCTTCCAACTTATTAGTAATGATCACAATCTTGTTAAGTAATGGTATTGTAGGTATGTCTTGGTTAAATAGCAATTGAAAGCAATTTTCACACATTTGACATACAAAATGTGAAAATGTCACTTACAGTATGTACATAATACGTTTTCTTGGAAACGATTACTTAATATATCCCATTTACAATAGTCCTCAAAACGTGTACGCTTTTTTGTGAATAGAAGTGTCCTTAATGTAGCGATAACTTTTTTGTCTTTACGCTGTTTACGTTCCAAAGTTTTTTCTTATGAATTATTGTAAACATCGTATTAAGACATGAGCGGGGGACGGGTTTTCAACCTCAATGTATTTTTAATTTTAGCTCAGAAATGACGTGCTTTTGACAAAAGTTGGAATAACGAAAGTTGTTTCTTTTGACGAGTTCTATTAGTGGTTAAAATATTTGCTCGCAATCCTCAAACACCCTGTATATCGAAATATTTGACTTCTTTTAGAAACATGTAATTTCAAGGAAGGGTCCTTTAAGGTTGTACAAAAAAATTACCAACATTGTTGCTTCTCTGATAATTGTTTACTGTGGGAACCAAAAATACTTTTTGATTTTTACACAGTTTTAGGCAACTAGATATACTTCAGCACGCGTCCTTAAGAGCTCAATACGCCACTGATTACAATCAAACGATTTGGTCTATGGTATTTTATTTAAACTGACAATTTTTTTCATACAGTAAAAATCCCATAAACCGCGGTGTTTTTGTCACTATGCCAGCGACAAAAGTTTGCCCTAACTATTACAGCGACAAAACGGAATCTAACTTTTGAAAGCGTCTGAATTTAGTGGGTCTGCATCATCGGTCCCTAGACAACCAAAAAAAAAAATTGTAAACAAATTTGAAAATTACGAACCATTCTAATCGAGCTGCCGCCGTAACTAAGTGAACAAAAACTTGTGAAAATTACGGGACATAATAATCCATCGTCATTAAAACCGTACCTTCAGTTACATCAAGAACATCATAGAGACATTATTGGGTCCATTCGTACTACCATCCAGGAAACAGTTACTACCATCGCTCAAAATACCAGCATGGAGCAAACTATTAACAAAAAACAAGAAAGTTCTGAAAATCAAATTGTTTATGAGAATTGTGTTTTTAATAATTGTACTTTCCATTAAATTAAATAAACTAATTTACACCTTATTTGATAATTTAGTGATTTACGTATTCATTAAATTGTCGTACCGAATTACACTGAGGCTTTTTTTTACGAAGAAAACTTGACAGTTTTAATTCGAGTTTTGCTTCCTTTAGGCAATTTAACTTAAAAAACTGTCAGAAGCAGTTTTTTTCGTTAAATTGCCAGGAAACAAAATACAAAATTCTCATTAAAATGTCAAGTTTACTTCGAAAAAAAAAACTCTCATGTAAAGTGTGTTTTTTTTTTTTTTAGAACGAAGTAGGTGGCGTCAGCATCGGTCACTCCATTTACACAAGACAATTCTTAGAATTGTGTAAAATTGATTGCCTATTATGGAGGGGTAATTTTAAAAACGAAGAAAATTTCAATGTTATTTGTTTTTTGGCATTTTATTATAAATTAGTGTCTACAAATTCAATTAAGAACAAGAACAACATTTGATGAATCTCACGTTTACTTAAAAATAAAACAAGAACATAAAAAAGGACTCTTAAATTTTCTTTTGGAATACATAATAGCTAAACAGCAACCTAATCCTTTGTTAAAAATGCAATGAAAACTTGCATTCATTAGAAGTGGTCGAAAGTAATAATCCACAACTTATTCAGTGGAAAAATACACCATCGATTTGAATTAGGTACCTACCTAATCAGTAAGGACATCGTTCTCGATCAAAACATCTCCTGTTTCTAATTCCCACTCAAGAAAAATAAATAAAAACAATAAATTTTGCGTAGATATTATGTTTCATTATTTTCTGATCACTACTAACTGGCTTTCTCCTGGATTTTTTTTTACAACAGAACCAGGTTGTAGTTCTGCCATTATACTACACCAAAATGCTGAAATCGTACACTAACAAACGACACTTTAATTTAAAATATTATGACATATTTCAAAAATAATGTCAAAGATTTGAGATTTTTAAAAATTATTTGGTAACTATATGTAGTTCAATGTAAATAAAGCTTGTCACGTGGTGCAAAATAAAGTAACCTGATTTGCCAATTTTAGTTCCTATTTCCCGCAACGCTTCGTTCTTAAAAAAAATAAACTATAATTATAAGTGAAAAATTAAAATTTTGCTTTTTACGACTTTGGTGAAACTAATTGAGTTTGTAATTAAAAACAATTCTGGTTAAAGTCTAAAAACAAAATATTTTGCTTCAATAATAGTTTAAATTTTGATCATTTTTCGAAATATTGAGTTATTTTTTGTCAATTTCATCCTAGAATAGCTATGTTTAAAACTATGCGTACGTATTGAGCGATCAAGATAATTTGTAATCGAGTCATTTGTGGATCCGAAAAGGTATGTCTGTAAAACGTCAAGTAAAATGACAAGTCGAAACGTAAAATAGCATGATCAAAAAGGTGATGATTATACTAACCAAATTTATAATTTACCTTCAAAAAAGAACGGTCCTACTCGTTTTATTATACGACGGCGACTAATTCCAGCCCATTTTGCCGTTTCAGTTTACGACTTGTCATCTTATTTGACGTTTCAAGTGAAGTTAGACATACGATCACGGATGCAAAGATAACACGACTACAAATTATCTCCGTCGATCTACATCACCGCCTCCTTAATGAAATGTATCAATATCCCGCCTGGGCATTTCGTAAAAAATGCATTGGAGCAGTGATTCCGATTTTTTCTTAGTTACGGGGGTTACTAAGGAAAAACTGAATGATTTTTAATTATTAACGAAAAATAACGCAATTAATAAAAGCTGGGAAGGAAGGATACAACAAAACCAGATACTCCAGGGAGAATTGATATTATGAGGTTGAACCCTTTAAGCTAAAAAACTGTATATGTCAAAAAATTTCCCCAGATTAAAGCGCCAACGGGAATCAGTTGAACTCAAAAAATGCCCAGGCGAGAAAAGGATTATTTCTATCGAGACTGCGATGTTCTACATAATGATCCGACAAAACGATTGGCGTCGAAAAACCCGGAAAATATCTAGTAGTTTAGAAGTTATCGACACATTTATAAAATAAGTACCAATTTCTACATACATGATGTCCGGAAAGTCGCGCACGTCCGTGTTACTGTATCATCGGCCGGTACCCTAAACAACAAAAAAATGTTAAAAAAAAATCTATATACAGGGTGTTCCATTTTTATCGTTACAAATTTAAACAGGTGATAGGATATTCAATTCTAAGACAAAAGTTTCCTATAAACATGTATCGAAAAATGCTTGGTAAGGGAGCTACACCCCCTGAAAGGGGGCTAATATGTTTTCGCTAATATTTCAGAAACCATTTAATATAAAATTACAAAATTTGGTACAGATGATAATCTTTATACCTAAACGAATTCAAACATCAAATGTCGAAATTTCTAATCAGGGGCGTCCGAAACTGGTGGGGTTTAAGCTAAAAAAATGCCCTATTTATTTTGACTCTGGTTTCTTTAATTATACATTGACCAAAATGGTGGTCACTTTGAACAACTCCTTTAGATTTAGGCAAATTCATTTAATTAATGTTATTATTGTTACTGTAATGTAATGTCAATTAGTTGAGGTTGATTAAAAAATATGAATTTCTTGCTTATATTATTCTGTAAATTCTGATTTATTTGAATGTTGTATTGATGGTGTGTAACATAAATTTTAAATTAATTTTATTCAAAAACAATAGGTTGTATCGACACAAGAGAGACTTTTCTGTGATAAACTATCGAACTTAAGATTTTGTTGCTGAAAGTACCGAGAAACTAAAGCCAAAATAAATACGGTAGGTTTTTACCTTAAACTCCCCCAGTTTCGTACGCCCCTGATTAAAAATTTCGACATTTGATGTTTGAATTCGTTTAGGTGTATAAAGATTATCATCTGTACCAAATTTTGTAATTTTATCTTAAATCGTTTCTGAAATATTAGCAAAAACATATTAGCCCCTTTCCAGAGGGTGTAGCTCCCTTACCAAGCATTTTTCGATACATGTTCATAGGAAACTTTTGTCTTAGAATTGAATATCCTATCACCTGTTTAAATTTGTAACAATAAAAACGGAACACTCTGTACAGTCTGTATTATGAAAAACGCCCCAAGCCATAACTCCATTATTTTTAAAGTTATGACAATACTTCTTAGAACAAAGTTGAATTTTTTT